ACTTTGGAGGCTTCTAAATATTTTTAATAAATTTAGATTTTTACCCTAAACCCAATTTTTTCGTGAAATTCTGGTTTTCTTGTCCCTACCTTTTCACTGATTTTTTTTAGGTATTTCCCACAAAATTTCGAGGTGGTTATGAAAAAATAGTCGCCAAAACAACAACAAAACAAAAAAATCAACTGACGGTATGCGTTTAATACTAATCTGACCCAAGTGAAATTTAAGATGTACTGCCCATTGAAATTTTGCCTAATATCACAATTTTTTTGCGTCCCTCTTAAACAGACAGAAACGACCGATATCTGCAGTATCCTGATTTAATACCTTTTAATAGTGGGGCAACTTTCAAATCGCAGCACATTTTCCGCTCTTGGCACTTTACAGCTTTAAATATTTCCCATGTCAATCAAAGCCACCTTAAAACCCCACAGACTAACCACAAACGTCGCACAGAAATTCTAAGCTTCTTTTTGGGCTTTGGATCCAGTGCTTAAAAGCATAGGTGTATTTACTGACGGATCACATGTGGAATGCGGAGTAGGTGCAGGGATTATCATGGTGAAAATAAATTTAAAGTTACCCTAGATGCTTAGATAGATGGATATTGATATCGACCCCTTTGCGCGAAATTATCGTATGCGCCAAAAACCAAATTTTACAGGAGAGTATTTTTTTGTAATTTTCAAAATTTTTTGTACTTTATTAATTTTATTTTTTATGATACTTTTGTATGGCACAACTACAATTTCGCCCAAAAGGAAAAATTCAGTTGTATCATGCGAAAAAATATGCAATTAAATTTTAGCGTAATCGTAGAGATTTTAGGTACACTATTTTACCAAGTGATGCATTGTATGGTGTAGAACAAATTTGCATCAAAATGTCAACTTCAAGCAAATGGCACATACAATAATTGCGCACAACGGGAGTCGATATTACGTGGAGGTACCTCTTTCAACTCTAGAGAGAGAGGGAGAGTATTGGAGTTTACAGATTTGGAATATCTACGAACCATTAAAATTCAGAGCTCTGTTAGGGATCCGCAAGGGAAAATGCTTACAAACACACTACTGTCTGCACACGGCACCCAGGGTGTGCTTGTCTCAAGTATCGGCGGAAAATACTTTCTTTACGAGTGCGCGGCACTTGCAGGACTAAGTAAATGTCCCTTTTCCAAACATTTCGTCACAACATTCATACCAAAGTGCAAGCGCCTTCCTTAGGCCGAGAATTTGCACGATTTTCTGTTTTTAAAATGACTAAAATTTTCTAATTACTTGTCACCGGGGTGACAAATTGTTCTACATAGCCAAGTATAATACAAAATACAGTTCCTTTAAATATGAAACTCGTTTGGTAAACTCCGGATTTTGTTACTGGGTGCACCTATGTTGATTACACACATATCTACCCACGTAGCTACACAAGCGTGCGTATCGGGCTTCCCACCGTCTCATAAGTTTTTAATCATGAAATTTCATGAAGAATTTCCTTCCTTCCTTCCGGTGACAATGGCGAAGCGGTTTTTAGCGCGGAGGGGCTGGATTGTGGTATGTTTTCACACAGATATATGCGTGTTATAATGTATTTATGTATGTATATATATAGGGCCATAAATGTGTATATCTTTTATGTATTTGCTTTACACTGAGCAAAGCATGTGTTTGCTTTTGTTTCGATGTTGTACCTCACTCTCGACCTGGGTTACGCCCCAACGCTTGGCTGCTATATAGATTGTATGCATAAACATAAATCCAAGCCCCTTTTTTCAATGCATTGCATTTTACTATGACTGTCCGAAAAACCTGCGGCAGGTGCTTTCAAGCCAAAAAAAAAAACAATAAATGTGCGATGAATGGCTTTAACATAGAGTGCAGTGCATTTGGGGGGCCATCGTTTGAAACACATACCAACATATATACGTACGGGAGTAGTTTCGGGCAGTGGCATTCGTTTTTTTTTTTTGTCTCCATCTTTCGTTGGACAAATGTGCTCCCGTTATCTGTTGGCGGCGATTTTATTGCACAGCCAAGGGTGTTAAAACAATGCCATCACATGAGATTGTTGGCGCTTTCATAAAAATATGCATTCTTCAAAAAAAAAACATTCCACAGCTTAAAACCTATTGTGTACGCATGGCTGCTCTCGCGAACGTTGGCTTAGCTGTATCTAGCTCCGAGCTACTATCTGCTGGCCTGGCTGTGCTATATGCTCACCTTCATGTACAAAAATAAAATAAAATCTTACGTCATCGTGCTTGTATGGAGATAAATATCCTGCAATGCTTGCCTTTAGTAACGCCAATTTATTGCTTTTTTTGTGTTTTATATTTGCATTAAATATTTATAGAGGATACAGACGTATCTTAGGGATTATACAGTTCATTGAAACTTTCAGTGCGAGCTAAGTGGCTTTTTTATGAAACTCGTTGAAGTGAAAGTTTATGCAGAAAATAAATTCAAAGCAATCATGAAATAGTTGTTGAAGCAAATAAAAATGTCACATTCTCTCTTTAGAGCGTATTTCTGTAATTGTTACGAACTTGATTCTGAACCAACCTATCTCTGGCACTGTACCCAAAAGGCTTTCCTTCCAGTGTGCAAGAGAATGCAAACTATCGTCGCTGGTAGCAACTGAAATTTCAATAAAAAAAACGTCGGTACCTAAGCGAGCAGAATGTTCAAAGACCCCGTTGCGCCATGAGCCACTGCAGTCTGGATTTTGAAAAGTTTTTGGAATGGAGATCAAGTGGAGATCGAATACAAATTCCAAGGCCCAATGGCGATTTTCAAGTCTACCTCAATTGAAGAACCAAACCATTCTCTAACAAAAGAACAAATTTTTTGTATGAAAAATAATCTTGAGAAAAGATTGGATATCAATTTGAATTCATAATTTATTAAAAGTTTAGTCGAACCTTCAGAATTTCTCAAAGATTGGAAAAAGAATATAAAGATTATACGACAAAAAAAATTATTTTATATGAAAAAGAATCCGCAACACCCTAGACAAAAAAAAATCTCAAAAATCAACGGTTTCTTTTAGCTATTTGAAACTGGCTTTTTATCAGACTAAAATTTAATGAGAAAAAAATCTGCTTGCTAGAGCGTTTTCAATTCTGAATAAAAAGTTTAAAATTTTTATGATTTTTTTTTACTTGATTAATTTTTGTGAACTTTGTGTAAGCTTCCAAATTTTTATTTATGTTATGAGTGCACTATAGTTTAAATGAAATTTATAAAAAATAAATAAATAAGCATACGTTGCAAACAACCACAGAAACCACATAAATACAAAAAATTTTGCATCAAAATTTCAAACTTATTATTAAGAATTGAAAATGCTCCAGCAAGCAGTTTTGTAGCCCGGTCAATTTATAGTCCCATAAAGTGCAAGTCTCAAATAGCTAAAAATCGTTGATATTTTTTTTTTAAACCTGAATTTCGCACCTATTATTTTGTCCATTAGTGTATATAAGAGTTGCCCACAACCTTCCCACAACTTATCTTCTTTCTCTTCTTTTCATTTCAGATAAAACAAAAAGTGAATATCAAACATAAGTTGGAATAAATTACACAACAATTAAAATATTCAACTTCAACAACTCAGACTGGTAAGTCTACAAAGTATTATTTTTTAATTTCTTTAACTTTTCAAATGCAAATGTCTGCTTTCAACAATCGCAACTCCCTTTATTGCCCATAAAAAATATTCAGCTGCACATTCATACAAATGCTGCTCCTTCATACATATGTATGTACATATGAACGTATACCATGCATATTCAACTCCGCCCAGACAGACATGAAGTGTGAGTGATCATTAAAACGCATTAAAAAAGTAAATTAAAAAACTTGCAAGCACTTCACTTCACCAATCTCAACGCCAGTAAGTAATTTGACTTAATTTCCGCAATTGTTTGCATTACATTCATGCGGCTGCAACTGCGTCAATGTTAGCATGGCAGAGCAGGACAGTATTGCATAATGTTGTCAGCAAAAAAAAAAACATGAATAGACACGCACACACTCGCACACATGCATTTTTTTTTATGTAGTTAATGTAAGCGCACTTGTTTGCATGCGGCAGTAGACCGCATTTGAGTATTTGCATTTGTGCTAATGAAATTACCATTTCGCGGCATTTGTCGCCCGCAATGCGCGCAAATCATTAACGCCAGCAGTGCATTTATGCAACGTTGCAGCAAGTGTGCACATTTTTTTTGCAAACACTCATTTTATTTGTTGGCGTCGCACAGCATCGTTGTCTACCACCCACTGGTGCTTGCAAAAATTGACACTGCTTTTTCGCCCGCCAGCCGCTCTACGAGTATGTAGAGTGGAAAACGTGTTAATGAAATAGATTCGCGTCAACTGCACTGTCAAGTACTTGCATAGGAATTAAGTGACACTTGTTGTGTTGCAAAGTCTTTTTCTTTGTCAATTTTGACGAGTCAAACGTCCTTTTTATGTGTTGGAAGTGTAGTGGCGAGAAATATTCGTATTTACATATACTTTTATTGCTTATAAAGGGCGGAAAAATATGCTACTTAGACTAATTTGGTTAATAATAAATGCAACTGTGGGATGGAGAATATCATAACCACTTGCAAGTGAATAAATTTAAGCATAAAACAAGTGTAGATGTATCAACGATGGTTTCCCTGTTGAGTATATGTGCAGTATATTGCTCAAAAGTGAAGAGCAAAGTAAGCAAGCTATGTAATCAGTACTCTAATTAGCAAAACGCTTTTTTCAAATGTAAAGATTTAAAAAAGAAAAAACCAAAAGCGTTGCAAACAATTGATCTGGTAATGGCATTAAACCACAGACTGACCCCAGACTGATCCATTTAAGAGAAAAAGCAAACAATTAGAAAACTGTGATCTCTTTATTTTTCGAGAAGAACAACCCAATAATATTTAGGTACCTTTTATTTTAGCCTTGAAAATTCACATTTTTCTGTTATGTTGTTAACACAAAAATCCTAATATGAAATAAAAAAATTTATTATTTGAACATTAATAAGCAAGAAAATTTTTATTTTCCCTGAACTAGAGAATTGCCAAAAAATTGTAATTACTAAATCAAAGGGTATATCAAAGAAAAAAACGATTCCAAGCCATTTGTTTTAATTAGAATAACCCCTCTGTATAAAAAACAGAATCTGCCTTACCCGGAGTTTCGCCAGAAAAAAAAATTCACCCGAAAATTTTTTCATCCGCCCATACTTAGTAAATACATGAAAACGACAAGTGAAAAGTGAAATGGTTTGGGGCAAACGAAACTCATGGTAAGGCTGAATATTGTTTTTTAGCCGTCCAATATGATGAAAAAATTCTCTAGAAAATTACTTCAACAATCAGATATTTACTAACTTATCATACAGAAATTTAATATACTTCAAATTTCTACAGAAAAAATTAGTACCTCAATGGTAGTCTTTTGGGAAGCATACATATTCTGCATGGTCTCACTTTGGTATCTTATTTGAGATATATGTATGTAGTAGTAGGTAGTGTTTATGGAAGCATCGGCAAACATGCCTTTAGCTGTTTAAGTGCTGTGTACTGTGGCCTACTTACGCGTAGGCGGGCATGTGCGAGCGTATGGAAAGCACACTGCAATCTAGCCAATACATCTCTATGTTCATGTGAACATGCAAATACCCTGCAGAGAAGCTCCAAATTAGTTAACCAAAATTTATAGTTCCGCACTAGTTCTTTAATGCCATAAACGAACCAGTCCGATACCAACTACATCCCACAACATTTGAAAAGCAACGAAGTGTGGTGCTTTAAAAAAAAAACTAATTTGTTTTACTTTTTAAAACTACTTATCGCTAGCTAAGAGTGTAAAGTTCTAAATTCGCTATTTCCAAACTAGTTTGGCACTTGTGCGTTTCTCTACAGGGTATATATCTTTACACAACTAAATAGTACTCGCATGTACATTTATAAATATTTATTCTTAGCAAAGTAGATTGTTCCGTGCCATAATAAGACAAACGACGACAGCGGCGACAGGAACAAATATCTTTAATACAGGCGTTTTGTCTTTACAAGTAGAAATGGACACAGCAGCACACTTACCTACATACTATACAAGCAAATTTACCTTAAGCCAAAGGACAAGTGCACACTAAAGCACATACCTACTTACGTACATATACATATACTATTGCATGTAGATACGGACATGTTTCAGTATGCGTTGCCCCTTATGTGTGTCGGCGTATTTATCATGCACTTAAGCACATTTATCAGCAACTTTAACAGCTTTGCCATTTAGCTAAAAGACAATTTTCGCTCAATCCCCAAAACGGCATTGGACAACGCTAGTATGCACGTATGTACATATGTATATACTTATGTGAAGATAACGCATAAAACTTGCGCCAGCTAGAAGCACACATTTATTTTTGTGCTTGCATGTATGCACATATGTGAAATATATGTAGATATTGTTACGATTATCCTCGAAACCTTGAGGGATTTCCCAAATATACT